TGCTGGCACATCACCCGTAGCAAGTCGGTCTCGAACACAGCGTAGAGCTGGTCGAGCGTCTCGCCGACGATAGTGTCGGGGCGCGCGCGGACCAAGGAGGCCACTTTGGGGGCCATGCTGAGGCCCGTCATGGTCACGAGCGGTCCATTCGGACTCATGCAGTCGTTGTAGACGACCGCGGGCAGCACTTTGCGCTGCTTGTGCAGCTGCACGAGGCGCCACGACAGCGGCTCGTGCGTTCGCCCCAACGTGTCGCAAAAAGCCAGAAAATCCGAAAAATAATCGTCCAGCACCAAGAACCGCTTCACGTCGTCCATCTCGACGCGCCACGGCAGCGTGTCCGTGTCCTCCGCCGTCGACTTGTTGGAGCGAAAGCTCATCGTGCGCGCCGACATGGTGCGTGCTGAAATCGCGTGCACGTGCGGCCCGACGCCGGCGATGCGCCTGCCTACATTGGTGGGATGAGGGTTAGGGTCTTTCGAGGTGATTGAAAAGCGTGGAGTACTTTTGCGGTAGCCGTCAAAGTACCAGAACGCAAGGTTAAAGTGCAGCACGACGAGAAAGGTATAGTCCAGATACAAGGTGTAATATCCGTCCCAATGCAGCGCCAAGGCCACAAGAACGACGCCAGCCACGAGCAGCGCCGACATACAGAGGCCCTTGCTCGTCTTGTAATGGATGGTCCTGAAGCGCTCAACCGCCTTGCCGTGGGCGCGGTCATACAGCAGTGAAATGTACTTGCAACCAATGGCCCACACGCAGCTTTGGCCCACTTGTATCCAGTAGAGCGACTAGGTAGAAGAAGAAGAATCGAACGACGATCCTCTGTCAACATCACATGCAACACCAACGCACCCGGAAGGCGTCGTCGTCTTGGCACGTCGCAATGCGCAGTGCAAAGATGGACGAGGGCGTCGCCGCGAGCGGCGTCATAAACAATAGAAAGCAGACGCTGGCACGGCGCATCGAAGGCTGCCTCGTGGTTGCGATGGCCTCGACGCCGCGCCGCGGTGGCGCGTCGGCCGACTTGCAAAAGACGATCAGTACGGAGAGATGGCCGAGGAGGTAGAGGCCACTATTCGTATGCGTCGTAGAAGGTCGCTGCGGATGGAGGTCGTACCTGGAAAAGGCCGGGAGCACATAGCGCAAGAGGAAGCCGACAGCGCACGGGACAGCGTCGCCAAAGAGAACCGTGAGCGGCAGAGTGAGGATCGCGACGACGCTTGAGAGCGAGACGAACGACATGGTGTAGAGATACCAGTCGTACTTGCGGCCGCGAATGGCAGCAAACGAGAGAAGGACTCGTGTCGTCGCGCAGCCCAAAAGGTGGACGAGCAGCAGCAGCGCGAGAAGCGAGACGCTTGAGACCAATCCGATGGCGGCCACGAGCGCCATCGCTCGGCGCCTATTTTGAGATGCTTGCCTTTCTGCTGCGTCGGTTTTATTCGGATTGTTGTAGGACCTTTTCTGCAAGAGCATAAAACCAAGATAAAATGTTGGCTCGAGCAAAGATATCGTATGCATCGGTCGCCAAGCCAACGACTTCCATCAGCCCGCGAGCTCAAGTGAGCACCCATGTGTACCTTCGGGTGCTGCAGCTCCAGGTCGGCCCACGGTCGCATCCAAGTGGAACTCCGCAACACGGGTCTGGCTCACGACCGCGGACGCTGCTGGTCGATC